ATAAGGTGAAATTTAGGTGACCGAGTGTTATTATTTTGGGTGGCATAGCTGCCCGGAATGAACTGCACTGAGGCATATCTCGGGATGGCATAGATGCCCCATAGGAAAAGTTGAGGGCAATAAAGAGGCATATCTCGGGATGGCATAGCTGCCCCATAGGAAAAGTTGAGGGCAATAAGGAGGCATATCTCGGGATGGCATAGCTGCCCCATAGGAAAAGTTGAGGGCAATAAGGAGGCATATCTCGGAATGGCATAGCTACCCCATAGGAAAAGTTGAGGGTAATAAGGGTCATAAGATGTGACTCACATCGCCTGGCAAATATACCCGAAATAAATTGCACTGAGGCATATCTCGGGGTGGCATAGCTGCCCCAAGAGAGAAACCCTAGAGATCTCCCTGAGCTGGAAATAGGCGCGCTTGTGGAACCCTGGACGATTTCATTAGTTCCGTGGCTGAACGGACGTACACTGCAAGGAAGTCAACTATACTTAATTCAATTATCTAGTCGGTCCCTGCCGCCATCAAACCCCGCTTACCCAGCAGTGTTATTAGCCAGCAGGGCTAGGTCCCGCCACGGGTATCCGCCTGGATCGTAGCCGTCTGTGTTGTCACGGAGAGCCTTCTTTTCACGAGAAGACATCGACTTGTGCCGCCCTGTGATTAGCTTCTTGAAGGTCTTCATTGAAATGCAAGAATAAGATTTACTGATCACATTGTCGGTTCACTGAACTTCCTTCCGGACCCAAAACGATACGCTCGCTCAAGATACGAGCCACAACAAAATTCCAAACTTTCGAAACTTCTACGCTGATCGCGCGCGTCCCAAGGTGACGCTCTTCGAAACTTATCTCCACTTCAGTCCATCAACGATGGCTGCAGCAGCTGACCACGGATATCCCGCGGCTCATACGAGATGGAGACGGCGAGAGGACAATGATGAGGTTAAGAAGGATAACCAAGACGGGATCTCCAAGGTATCATCCTTTGTCTTAAACTGCACAACTCCTTATGGCTAGATGCGCGGATATGTCCGATCAGCCATGGACTACCTTTTGGGAGACTTCAAGAATTATAAAGGTCTCACTAAATCTTACATTGATGTGAGAGCATTTGCTGACCAAGTACTTCCGATGAGATGTTCCGATGGTTAAACAGACATCTCACCATAACGATTGGACATACCATTCGTCTCCTCCTTGTCAGGACATATATTACCCCGTGTCAGCCCCATCACAAGCTGGATCATTGCTAGCCTCGAACCTCGATGTGTTGTGAGTCGATTTCACAGAGTTGCCGACGAAGATTTTACGACAGGTATTCGCGTAGTATAGAAAGTCTCCCTGGCGAAGATATCTACATTCCGAGCTACTATATTGATACCAAACCAGCGGGGTCGAGCAAAGACGTCTCGATAGCGGACATGAGTTCGTTGTGGGTACAATGAGATGTTCATCATGACTCGGTACAGGTACGACTGCCAGTGGGCCAAGTAGCTCTTTGTATGCCGTGCGCGATATGGAGTTGTCATCAACTCCTTCTACCTCGGAGAGCATCAAAGGAACCTCGACAGTAGTCACATCGAGTCTCGATGGTCCACGTGAAGACAACTCAGCCGAGTCGACGGTATACGAACTCCTTCTGCTAAGGTTTTAAGTTCATTCCCAGACCCTCCCGATTCCCCAAGGAGGGTTAGTTCTGACCTCCGGTGTAGCATCAGCCGTTTGTGCGTCAGCTCTTTACGCTACATCAGCGTGGGCTAGACAGCACTCGATCACTGATGCGGCATCTGAAGGCTTAACTGTGGGCATGATCGCAGGTAAGAAGCAGAAAGTTCTCAAAGAGTGCTTCATATTACCGCTACAATCTACTCTTAAGCTTCTCCTTACGGTTCAGGCGGCAGCAAGGCCGTAGTTTCCTCTGTTTTCGGGCCAGTGATGGCAGAGATTTTCTCAGTCGGTATCCACACAGCTGCTACATGCAGCCGGTTAACAAAACTGGAGAACGGTGAAGGTGCCGAAGGTGAGAGCACGAGAAATTCCCACCGACATCGACTACTGATCCTTATTCGAGTGCGCCCGCAGTGAGTCGCCATTCCAATGAGTCGGGTTAAGCTCGGGTCCTAGTAGGACTGCGGCGGATAAGACTATATCTATCGGCTCGCCTAGGTGTATCACCAGCGTCTATCGATCTGCAGCGGAAACGCGCTGTTGCATCCGCCGTTGGTGGCGCGGTTGGGTCGAGGCTTCTCATCGGCTGTGCTAGGGGATACATGAACTCGCGAGTAGCAGACACCGAGAGGAAGTGAGACTACACCATGTTGCGGTATTGCATCTTACGCTCTCTAGAGTTCTCTTGGCTGCTGCTGGCCTCACCGGCAGTGTCATCGGCAGCCTCGCTGCAAAATGGATAGTTGATCTACAATTCGAAGCCGCTCAGAATCGACGAGTCGTGGAAGTCTCAGGTTAGTTGAACATTTTTGATCTGCCTTAAAACCATAAACCAGCCATGTGATGCTTGATTGAGTACTTCCTCGTTTGTATAAACTCGAGAGAAGGCGTTTCTGCATTATTGCGGTGTTGCGTTCATCGGCTGACTTGGTACGCTCGTGCCCGTTCTACGACAGCACTTCCAGGTCAGTTTCCAAAAACATAGCAATCAGGCAGGAACCCTCCAGAGACTAAGTGACTTTAGAAATGATCTCAAGAGTATGGGACATCCTAAATTCGGTGTGCTCCTCGTGAATTGCGGCTTGCGTTGAGATCAATATAATTGGATCGGTTACGGATCCGTCTCGTGTAGCCAAAACTGGGATAGTTTTGACTGATCAACTCGTTAACTGGACGATAACTGTTTAGTTCCTAGAAAGTCCAGTATTTGGTAAAAGTTTTGGATAATTCACTGAATTTAGTCGGTAAACGGTTAAAAGAGGGTATTTTCTCAGAAGCGAGTGAATTATTGATAATTCGGGCAGAATTTTAAAATCTATCTGGGAATGCGGTAGTTTTTGTCTGCCGCTCTTTTGGGGCGATGAGTTTTGTCATGTCCTTGCGACTTCCCTGCAGCATAACTTTGGCTGGTCTTCAATGTGAAATTGCACGAATTTCTCATGTTAGGAGCGCTCTTGTCGGTGATGAGATTCGCTATTTAGTCGACAGTTTGTGTAAATCTGTGGACGTTCAGTTGTCCTAAGATTGACGAAGATTCAGCAACATCAGCTCGTCACCAGGAAGTATGGTAATGGTATTGTTCAAATGCCTGAGGATACCCCTTGTTAATATACATCCATCTTCTCCTTGAAAACCCGAAGGTCTATGAGACCCGTCATTTGCACGTCTTGTCTGTTGGTGTGTTCTTCTATGACGCTCTGCCCTACCCGGTGCACCACAGTTTTCACAGGCCGGATTTGTTTCCGACCTGGTCGGTATCTTTATATCATCCACATCATGGTAACTACTTTCTCAGTACTCTCTGGAGCGGTTCAGGTGTTGGTCAACATCGCCGTACAGCACTTCACCCCGTTGCCGATGGTCTCCACCAAACACCCCCTATCTCGATACATTGACAATCTCATCTTTACTTATTTGCTCATCGAAGAACACAGTGGGTAGGATGGTCATAGGGCGTGGCCTTGGATATTTGGGGGATCCTTGAGGCATCAATTGCATCATCATCACAGCGGTTCGGTTAATTTTCATCAATTTCGCAAATATATGGATAATGCATTTGGATAGGCTTCAGATGTTGGAGCGAAAAGCAGCACTCATTAGGTGTCAGCTGAGGCCGTATGACTTCAAGTCTGTTAAAATCACTTTCAGTTCATTGCTTTTCTGGTGTTTCGTTTCACAGTGTATGACGCTTGAAGCTGTCTCGAAAACGCCGTCGGCGAATTCGAAATACTGATCTAAAACATTGTTGGATCGCTGAGAATGAGCACCGTATGGATATGCATGCTACGTCTACTGTCGTAGCTTGATTCGTTCTTAGAGGATGAAGTCCTCGAATCGTTCAGCCTCGCGCAGTGAATACAACATCAATAGATGTAGGAGCAGATACAGTTATCTTCCCAGTTCGGAATAAAATCCTCTACTATTGAAACTATTGATCCCTTGCTCACAGCGCGGAAACCAGATGAACTGGTAGGCTTGATGGTATTTCCGCTTGTCTGATGGATAAAGGATGCGTGACAGCTCGAACACAACAACACTGAATGGATAAATCAACATCGTTCAGACTGAGCACAGGCGATCCGGTCGCAACTGGTGAGGAAGATTGATAAGCAGTAGTCGACACTTGTTATATCAGAGACAACTCAGTCAGCGGTACCGCGTACTGCTGCGAAAACCGAATAAGTCCAAGCACAGATCTGGGTGGGCTCACCCAATGGTTGAGACCCTGAGGGTCGGGGCCGCCAGTGGCGATGGGCATTCGAGTATCCTCCATGAGATGGTCGATAGCGACTGGACAACGGCGCGGTGTTGAAGAATTGGCCGGGGACTGAGGAAATCTCACTTATGCGGGAGTTTCTAGACACCACACATGATAATATCAGACAGCCTTACCCCAGCCTGTTATGAAGTATGTAATGATTGTATTCCGGCGGGTAGGAGCTACGATGTCGACTATAAAATCTCGAGCTGGTGGAGGCGATGCGAGAGGCGGTGACATTGGATGAACATACTGAAGGACCATCCAGCCATAGTCGCTGCCCGGTCGCTACTTGCACTTGCATATCAGTGGGCACAGCGGGAATGTAATCGTATGACTATCAGTCCACAACAAGGAGTTCCTGTGCTTTTCTTATCACAGCGCGACCCTTTTCCCAAGTCGCGGAGTCACAGTAGGTACATCGTAATTTCGAAACGAAGAGGCATCCCAAAGAAGGTCACAACCTCCATACTTCGCTGAGTTTACTGAGTTGGATTATGAACAGTGATATGTTCTGAACGAATCTACCACGACATCGTAACAACTCGAATCACCAGCTCGATAGAAGAAACTCAACGTGTGGTATGTGATAAAGTAAGTTTCCATAAATCGATAGCTGGATGAACGTAACCCTCCATCTCCGGCCACTCGTCAATCGGCATCTCCTCGCCGTCCCAACCCGCGGCTATCAGGCCTTCCACGAGGAGCTCGTCAACGTCGTCATGCCGGTGCTTATGCGTCATGAACCTACACACAGTCTCGATTGCTTTAGTTTATCGAACTCACATGCAAACGTCCATCTTCAACTTCGGCCGCAACGCGTTCAGTACGTCGAGGAACAACTGCACACCATCGACATTATAAACAACATCACTTGCAATGACGAGGTCAATCGAGTCGTCTTCTACCCAACTGAGATCCGGTGAGGCCCAGTCGAGCGCATGCCACTCCCTAGCTTGACACGATCCCACAGCTTCCGGCAGGTCTGTCGCTATCACTCTTTCCACCGTGTCCTCTATCGCCATTGACGGAGCACCAAAGCCACACCCGAGCTCGATAGCAAAATGCTTGTCGGCCACCTCCTTGGTGAATGAGAGGAAACGTGCCATGACTATCGCGCACTCCCACAGTCTCGCACACGGGCCGTGGATTTCAGTGGTCACTTGGCGGAAGTCAAGAAGGCGGCCGCCGACCAACTCGACTTGTTCATTCTCGAGACTTTCAGTGAGGACATCGTGGCTCGCACTCAGACTCGTTGTGCAGTCTATGTACGGCATCAGAATTCCATAAAGAGAATCGAAACACTGATGAGTGAAATCTCCATCGTGCGTGAACTCAACAGTCGACCAAATCACATTGAAATCATGACCAAGAAGTCACGCGTCAAGACCACTGCTTTCCATTCCAGAAGACTCCTCCTCAGTAGCATCCTCGTTATCATCGATGCCATCAGGCCCCCACTCCTCTGATACCTCGCTGTACCTAATCCGGAGCATCATCATTCCAGCACGTACACAAACCCGTTACTCTTCGTTCATGTTATTCGCCACATTCGACATGCGGTTGAGCAGGTCAGCGATTTTCTCCAGTGTACTTTGGAGCTGAAACGCCCAATCCTGGCATGGACCAACTCTCAAATATCACCATAGATGGCCACGTGTCCGACAGTTTCGCAGCGGAAGGCTTACTACGAGCTCCAAGGCTCACAAGCATACCCTGAGATGAAGCAGTAATGCCTCCTCTTTTCCAGCTCCGGACTTGAGTTTGCTCCTCAATGGCAGTCGACAGCGCATCGAATTCATCAACCGCTTGCTCGCCTAACGCCCTTGCGCGTTGCAGACCTTCGGCTAGGGCCCCTTCTCCTGTTCGCGCAGCCGCCGTGTCAGCCGCTGGCGTGCCTGTAAGCGCCCTTGCTGGTGATGATATCACGGTGGACAACCACTGTACTCAAAGTCCCTACGATGCTTCTGAACTTGCCAACAAAGTCAAAGACATCTGTGACTCGTAGCCGGTCACTATCCAACACCTGAGCACGGCTCACCACACGTCGATGGCATCAGCCGTTGCCTTGTTGAGCTCGTCCTCGAACTGTAGCAACGATGGTCGCCGATCCCGCAGCTGTTGGACTAGGTATTCGATCAAAGACACGTTTTCTCCCTCGATGTTCACAAGGTCGAATACAACTGATAACCTGAAGTATCGAGCCACTCCAGCGTTGGGATGTATGTCCGCTTTTCTCATTCGGCTACGAGTGTACAGAATCACAAAAATTTCCTCAGATTTTTCATATCGTCACAAACGCATGTAGTTGGCCATGTGCGTATTTTCCCACACTGCTCATTTTACTTCAATCCTTGGGCAGCAGCACCTCGTTCACCTCCGTCACTCTTGAGGGCTCGGCCCACCTTCACAATGACCTTTTGAAACCCGGAAGTGCCACCACGTAGTGACAATTCCAACCTGGAGTATAGTCGAGAGTTTCTGGCTCTCTCTCAACTGTCGCGTCGCCTCAAGGATCAGTTTCAAATCCTCAAGAACTCGGTCTTTCTCCTGACTCGTGCAGAAATAGTTAACATACCTTCGTCGAGGTACATCAACAGCGTCCATCGACAAAATCTTACATGCAGTGTAACCGCAACTCGATCGTCGAGGACAAGTCGCGGACTGCAGTGCCGTAGTCCAGCAGCGCGGGATGGGTACGAGCCAGCTGTAAGTCCCGACCCAAGGGAGAGCACCATGCATCTGTATCCCACATAGAGCTACATAATACGGGGTCATCAAGAGACCTATCCCGGGCAGCCCTACGCTATCGGATAGCGGCGATGCTGCAACTTACAAGAATAGGAAGACTTCATACCAGTCGTCTTGAGACAACTGCTCAGCACCTTGCTGTATGTACTCTTCCAGACGACTAAGGTGTCGACCCAGATCCCAATTGATGCTGTCCATCGGGACCGTGCACCTTGTAGTAGATAACCACTAGCCGTGAGTACCACAACTCACTCGAAATAGCCAACTAGTTGGCCCTTCGAATCCAACGCGTCCACTCCGACGTTATTAACGCCAAGCCTGACTTTAGCAACCGTCAGAGTTCCTTTCACATCTCCGGCTCGGTTCGATAAAGGACCTT